CTATTGATTCTTCCCATTTTTATTTAATACCAGAAACGATTTGCTCTGTAACTGCTTCACTGCTTAGCTCATTATCTACACGATCGCTTGATATCATAACTGATTCGCTGCTTAACTGGCTCAGATGATAGCAGACTGCAAGCAGCAGCCATCCACTTTTCACCTCCATTTCCCTATCCCATGGTATAGGGATTTTTAGTGCTCTACAGCTTTCCTGACACCATTTTACCCCCTCAGTTCACTTCAAAACACCTTTGAGCTCTCATCCAGATTCCTCCACAACCCTATCTGGAGTGAAGGGCATCCTTCCCCTCACTCTCACAGCAGTATCCCAATCTTCAGAGCTTTGCCTCCACCTCTCTTCAAGGTGGTCTCCTTCCATCTTTCATACCTTTATGCCAGTCACTTGTATCTTCCTTTCACCCCTCTCACATCCATGTCTGCCATTCCCAGGCACATTTTTTGCCTACTGACTCTCATGAAGTTTCTTTCACTCACTCATACACGCTGACTTTGCCTTGTGTATTGACAGTGTCCTAGCTGAGATCTCTGGGAACAATATAAATAATATACACATTTCCAGAGAGTCAAATAGACAACACATATCCATTCCAGCTTCTTTCCTCCCTGTAGCGCTGCTTTCATGACTTCAGTCTATTCCTTTCTTTTTCAGTTGCTTGGAAATTGTATTTTGTTGCAGAACTTCCCTCAATATGAGTCAGATATCCCACAAGCAATTGAAAAGGAGCAAGGACTGGCTGACTTTGGATGGGCAACTGCAGGACTCCTCAGGGAAAGGAGTAAGACCAGGAAAATGAAATTCTTTCAACTTATAGTATTCTCCACATAAAAAAAGAAAATAAGGAACACTTACTGGAAATTTCTTCCCTTACTTTTGCCTCCCTGTATTCTGCAACTCGGAGCAGCTGCTGCTGCCCCTCTCTGGTGATTCCTCCTGCCTTTATTCAGCCAAGTGTCAGTGATGTGTTTAAAGGTGTCAAACACATCAATATTTTGCACCAAAAGTAATTCTTAGGTTGGAGGGAGGGGATATTGGCTCAAATCAATCTCCAGTGGTTTTGATAGCTTTACACCCAGAATGTATTTTTGGGTTCATTTCATAGTTAGAAAAAAAAAATAAAATAAAAGACAGGTGATGAAAACTTAGCAAGATTTAATATTCAAATACAAATGCCATTTCTTATTGCTATTGACTTGAATAAATATTACACGTTCTCCTTTCAAGACATGAGAAGTAACAGCAGGGACATATCTGGAAATAGCAGCAGCTTCCACAACATCACACTCTGCTGCTGGTTCCCACAAGCTGCTTGGTGCATAACCCTGTTTTACAAACGTTGAAATGGCTTTTGAGCAACTTAGGGGGTCAGAGCAATTGTTTTAAACTTTATCCAAATCCTAAGACTTGTAATTGAAGTGGTGTTGGTAGCTGGCACTACTAGCAGTTACTGCCATCTATGGGTAGAATAATTTTAGATTTATTGCTCTTCGGAAGTGTTTCTTTATTAAAAATAACATACTTGTTCTCACACATGAACAAATATAACAGGATAAATGTCCGTGATTGCTCTTCAGTGATAGCTCTCCTAAAGAAAGGAAGAAAATAAACAAAATAACAGTGCATGGACTTTACCTATTCATCTACCTGAGAAGAGTGAAAAGTGCTTGAACACTCAAAATGATTATCTACCGTATGGAAAACAGTGATGTTGCCCTATTTTCTTCTATCAGTATGTTGGAGGATATATTCTCTCTGCAAGTGCTGGCAAAAAAAAAAAAAAAAATGTCCCTGACATAGCAGCACTGAAATTATTCCAAATGCACCATGTAATTTGCATGTTAATTTGAATGGTATTATAATTTAAAAAAAAAAATTATTTAAAATTAATATAAAATATAAAATATAAAATATAAAATATAATATAAAATATAAAAAAAATATATTTAAAGTGGGAAAGTATTCATATACAAGTGGTCCTCTTCCTTTTCTGAAGGGAAAAATTCTCAGTCTGGGAGTTTTTAGCTTTTTAACCCTGGAATTGAGAGAGGTTCAGGGTATTCATCATCCCTGACAGCTGTTAATCCCCCTCAACGCTAAATAATCACTATGTTAATATATTAGAAGTAAGTACAGGTACTATTTCACTCTATTTTCCTTGCCCCTGTTGTCCTTTTGGTTCATCAGTCTTCCTCTGACAGTGGCCAGATGTTTAAGATGAAATGCAGAAAACATCTACAGTAGAAAATGAATGAAGAGAATGGGAACCAATCCCTTGCTGTTATAGGTAACTGTATCATAAAATCTCTCTCGCAAGCCAATCACACCATTTCCAAACTGATTTTGGCTTTTGATACCTCCTCCTCTCTGCTGGGAAGCTTTTCACGCAGACTCTTCTGTTAGACAGAAACATTTTAATTTTCAGTCTACATTTATTCAAGGCTACTTTATACCATATGTTCTTTTATCAGTAATATTCTTCTGCATAAACACTTTTTTTTTCCCTATCTTTGCCTGGTATTTATGCTATTTTATTTACAGGGGGAAGCAAGATCCCCTCTCTGCCTTGGTTTGGCTAGCCCATCTCCTTTTAATCTTCTATCGTAGAAAGACTCCTTGCTCCCCTTCACTGTCCTATTGACACTCAGTTACAAGATCCACAATGAATTCATCTGTCCTCTATCACAGTGGCCAGAACTGCATGTTGTATTTAAAATGAAGTTATACTCCAGGGTGACTAACACTTTCCATGCTACTTGGCACATCCAAGGGTTACTTTTGCTTTCTTTGCAGCCATGACACATAGGCTATAGTCAAAGACATCTCATAGCACTTATTTTCTCTTGTCCTCAAATTATCACGAGCAGCTTCCAAAGTACAGCAAATATTGAGGTTAGTCCCTATTTTGCACTTTGTATTACGTGGACATTTCCACCATTCCAGCTTTCAAAGTCATCCAGCTCTTCCTAACTCACCTTCGACATGTGTTTCGCTTACAGTCCCTGGTTAGCACCCAGTGACTTCTGCGGAGCAACGCAGAGATTAAAGCCAAGCCTTAAACAACCTAGAACTGTGAGCTAGCGAAGAGCAGTTTAATCTCCCCACTCCTGCCTTGCACCACGGTGCAAAGACTAGTCCCAAACGCCCAGCTAGGAAAGCAGGCAGCTCCGGAGCTGCTGCAGATTCCCGGGGAGCCTCTGGAGCTCAGCAAATCCAGCTGCTAACTGCTATACTCTGATCTCTGACCTAGAGGAAGTGGAAAGAGGAGTTATAAAAGATTACGTGGGAAATGGAAAGGGAGAAAAAAAGAAGTTATCTCCAGCACAAAGTCCTTTGCAGCAGCCAGAGGTTAAATGTAAACGGACAGAGAGGTGCAAGCCGCAAAGTGTCACCAGCAGCTTCCCTGGGATAAGAGGTGTTTTCCTTGGAGAAGACAAGAGCGGACACTGCTGGGACAGGTCTCGCACGTTTGATTCTTCACAGGCCAACTGTGGCCACTGCCCTCTCCATCTCACCTCCGTTTTCTAACGGAAAACCAACTGCAGAATGACAATTGATGGACAATATAAAAGGAGACAATTTGGCAGTCACAATTTTGTCCTTTAATTGCGGTAGGAAGGGTAGGGCTCTGAAAGAGGCCTTTGAAAAGCAAATATCAAGAAAGATGCTACACAAAGGGATGGTCTGTGTGCATCCCAGCAGGTTTGGCTTTGGCTGCGCACATACACCAAAGCCACACATCTCTTGCTCCTGACCCGGGTTTAGGACTAGGAAGGCGGAGACTGGTTGCCCCGTTGAGGCCTCCGGCCCCGCCGGAGCCGCCCGCCCGCCCGCGCGGCTTCCCTGCCCGCGGCCGCGCGCGAACCACAAGACCAAGCGCCGACGTCACGCGGGTGTTTCCCCGGGCGCCGGAGGCGGAAGCGGGCGCCGCGATGGCCTCCCCGTGACGGCGGCGGCGGCGCGGCCATGGCGCGGGGCCCGGCGGCCGTGAGCGGCGGCG